GACGCGATTGCTCTGATCGATTCCCACAATAGCAACGATGTGTGACGCGATAATGGGAATACCAGCTACGTACCGATCACTTTTTCCGGTGATATTACTAAAAAGTTTGCAGAAAACACGATGTATATACATGTGTACAGACACACACACACAACCAAGCATTACACATGGCATGCCCTTGTATCTAGCGACAAAAAAAAGTGATTGTCCGCTTTAAGGTAATAAAGTATAGTGTATGAGAAAAGTTTAATCAAGGTCGTTAAAGTAATCGATTTCTAACTGATTTTTACTTTTGACAGAATTATATCAATTATTATTACTAACATTATCGTCACTATAACGCATATATAAACATAACCTATCGCGAAGTAATTTATGGTCGACCTTCAAAATAAAAATCCAAGAAAATGCAAAGAAACTATAAAACTATAATCAATAAACACATCCCACGCAACGAGCTTTAACGAGAAAGTACGAATCAATATCATTACGTAGAATTTTAACGCAGGACGATTAAAGTTAGAGATCCTCGTTAAGAGCAGTTACCAAGCAATGCGTATACGGACATGCTTTACAAACAAATATCGTAAGACTTTATAGATCCTGGAAGTAATGGGATCGTCGAAGAAAACCCGACTCGAACGCCTTTGACTCGTTCTCGCAGTTAGCACAATAATAATTGCTCGATAATTGGCTCGAAGAATCTGGTATCTTAATGGGGAGAAAAGAAAGAAGCGATCGAAGACAGAGAAGCGGTTGTTTGAGATGCGATGTATTCATTAAATAGGAACGTTAATGAAATCGAGATCGTCTTTCCCATTTTTGAAACGTTTCAATTCCGCACGCGTAGCATCCATTTCGTTTATTTCGTTTTAAACGAAGCGATGCTGCCATCTAGTGGTAAAAAAATGAAACAGAACGAAGAAAAAATGAACTCGATACATACATAGGCACTTATAAAGAAAAAACCAACGACTGTCAACGATGTTTATAATTTAATAAACCCAAACTAACCTGCTGTAATATATATAGAGTTAAGAAATTCGCATTATAGAATGTAATAACGTTTACAACCTACAAAGACTAGATCCATTTCGATACTGTTCGAATAAAAAAAAATGTTCACTCACCGCAATCACGTTGCAAAAACAGGAATGTGGTATAGGACGACATGTCTCTTTACGCGTCAACTCGAACAAATTGAATTATCCACGACCTACGCACAACCACAAAAAAACCAAACCAATCTTCACGGCTGACCACTGTGATCTGCAACAAGTTGCAATTTGTAACGGTTTCGATTTCTATTGTTCGATCGATCGACGTGCCTATGCTATCAACTGAAATCAACTTCATGTAATAAAAAAATTATTAACGTTCTATTGACTCAAATTATAAAAAGTTTCAAATACATTCGATTGATTTTAATGATAAAAAAGGTTTTCTTTAAATGTAAAAATTATTTGAGGAGTAATTTTGTAATTGTAGAAACTAATGCTGCAATACCATGTTTATTATTAACTATAAAAACATTATATATAAAAAGAATTTAATTTTAAAAAATATTATGTATATTAGCATATTAAGTATATTAATTATGGGGAATAAATATTCATTTAATTACAATGATAGTACATTTATGAAAATAAAAATATTATACGTACGAAGACAGTGATTTGAATCCGCTTGGAACGTTCAAATTATTATTTATTTCCTCATGTTGGTATAACTGAGAATTTAAAGCATAAAGTAATGTTGGTCACCATTCCGGTTGTAATCGTTCTTTCAGCACGGCAAGATGGCTGATCAGGTACGTTTTCTATACTCACAATAGAAATATTTATGCTTCGTTATGGTTAACTCTATCATTTATTAGATATGATTAGACACACGTTTAATTTTATTATTATTGTTAATAACTGAAAAAAAATTAGTTTCTTTAATATATCATGGAAAGGTTATGACTAGTGATATTACTGTTGCACGTGGTTAAATTATTTGAGTACACTCTATGCTTTAATGCGTGATATATCAACATACGTTTCTATAATGTACGATATTGAGACGTATTTTTATACTTTTAGAGTGAACGTGCGTTCCAAAAGCAACCCACGATCTTTCTTAACCGTAAGAAAGGTCTGGGCCCTAAGAGGCGAAAGCCGATGAGATATAGCCGCAATGTAGGTCTTGGCTTTAAAACACCTCGTGAGGCAAGTATCTAGTTTATCTGGAAAATAATAAAGTCTATTAATAAAAAAAAATTATTCTAACATTTTTCTAATTGTTTTTTAGGCTTTGGAAGGAACTTACATTGACAAAAAGTGTCCATTTACTGGTAATATCTCTATTAGAGGACGTATTCTCACTGGAGTAGTACAAAAAATGAAAATGCAAAGGACTATTGTCATACGTAGAGATTACCTACATTATATTAGAAAGTATAATCGTTTTGAGAAACGTCACCGTAACATGAGTGTTCATTTGAGTCCTTGCTTTAGGTTAGTTTGTATACATCTTTTAATAATTTAAATAATTTATTATTATTATTATATGTTGATATCAACGACGGTCTTCTGAAATATAATTTGAAGCTTCTTATTCATTTTCTGAAAAATAATTGAATACTGTATTTGCTATACATAGAATTTTTTTTTCTTTTATTATTTATTATTTTTACTATATATTACAGAGATGTAGAAATTGGTGATGTAGTAACAATTGGAGAATGCAGACCACTGAGCAAAACAGTCAGATTTAATGTTCTGAAAGTTTCTAAAGGAACAGGATCTAAAAAAAGTTTCAAGAAATTCTAAGATCACCAAAGCGACAAGTGGTCAGTATGTATGTTAACATCTTTCTCTTTTTCTTATATCAATGAAAAGTAAAGTTAAAAATATAAAATGATGAAATTGACGACGGTCTTCTGAATTTATTAAATTGAACGATATATCGTATTCTGAATATAGTCAAAATATAATTTCAATACCCTTCTAAAATAAAAATCAAATATTTTATTTATATCTTTTATATTGCAGGAGATATCGGCATTGACGTGACAAGGGGAAAGTTACGAATTACGACCTTGATTTGTATCTTACAACGTTACAAATTAATAAATAGAAACATTTCTATATAAAAACTTCTTAATTTAAACAAATTTTTCCTTAAAAACATTGAAAAGGTAATAATGCGAACTGTAAATTCATGTTAAAAAATATATTTTTACAAATTTCAACGAGAAAAACATTTTATCAAAACAATTTTTACATTATTCCAAAGTTATTTAGTAACATGCTTATTGTCACAAGAGAACAAAATTCTTCGTTATATTACATGTATACTTAATTATAATTACCATATTATCAATATAGAATATATGAGTTCATCACAATTATTTTATACTATCTGTGTTTTTTTCAATAATATATAAAACAAAAACAAATAATTTTATATCACGTGAATCATCAAAATATTAAAACTTAAAAATGGATACACAATATCCATTAACGCTTTTGTACAGATCTTCACAAATAATTCGATCAATTGCCAATCAACGCATCTTTGGCGATTCCTATTTGTAAATATTCATATAATATTCGGTAAAACACCTTTTACCACAGTGCTGTAATAAATGTATAATCACAAAAGCACTACTATACACAGTGCTATTCAATATTATCTTTTCATTTCTTATTTGCAAAGCATATTATTTAATTTAAAAATAAGTGTACAAGTACTTTGTACACTTTAAATATAAGAAAATATTTTCTAATTGTTTACTAAGTGTCATATTTTTGTTAATACCAACAATATAATGACATGTACATCAAAATTCTAAATTTACTTTTTAATGTAATCTCACTCAAAATAATTATAGTATCTATAATCAATCGTTATTGCAAGTTATGATTGTTGCTGCAAATCTTATAAGTACAACAGTTTGTACGTATTGTAACAATCATATACTTTTGTATTTAAAAAGAAAGAAACTAATGATTAGCAATTGAATGATTTTTAGTAGAAAATTCAGCTATATAAAGTATATATATAATAGGCCCTGCAAAGCCTAGCAATAGGGAAAATCCAAGGAGCTGTGTCCATGATAATCCACAATCATCACCAGAACACCTAAATGTATCTGTTAAATGAAGTTTTTCTGTATTACTCTCTGCTGAGGTAAGTAATTGATCACATTCCGAGTTGGCAGTCTCTAAAGAGTTATTACTGTTGTATGATGACAATGGTTCACAAACTGAATTTAATATAATTGTATTAATTTCTGCCTTTGGCAATTCAATCACAACAGGATTTTTCATCACATTTAATAATGGGTCTTTTATTGGTGCATTTTCTGGTTCTTCTCCAGGGGTGGATATACTTACTTCATTTCCATCAGCCTGTGCATTCTGATTTTCTTCTAAAGTCTCAGTTAATAGAGAAAATGGTTGTATAGGTACTTTGATGAATCGTCTTGCATGAATTTCATTTTCTTTATGAATCTTGTTAATCCTCTTCAACTCGGATATCTAGAAATACAACTTCTTACTTAAGTTCATTGCGATTCATTTCTGGTTTGATTTCTGTTTGAGTCTTTACCGTGCACCTATACCGTAATGCCAAAGCTTGTAACGTGTCTTCTGATTTTAGTAGGACATTTATCACCTCCACTTTACGTGGTATTGATGTTGATTTATTACGTTGTTGCAAAGGAATGGTTTCTTCATCTCCACTATTTTCATCATCTGAATATAAAAAGACATAATGTGGGGAACTATCCCTCTGATTTCCACGTTGGTAAACCATTTGTCTGGAAAGAATTGTTGTACTACATACACACGTATTATTTTCTAAGAGGCTGAAATGTAACTATAGTAAAATTTCCAGAAGAAACATTGTTTGAATCATTTTTCAATATATAACAATATATCATATGTGACTTGTCAAACGATGATCTATGACTATCAAGATTGTCAATTACCTCACACTTTCTTTTCGTTTGAAACTTTTGTTTATTATCTTTTATCGTCCGTCATACGTATTGTTCAAATACGAAAGACATTTCAAAACAAAATTGTTATCTAAACTTTGTGTCAATCATGTACGAAACATAACTCCTTTCACAAGTTGTGCATGCGATGTACACGTACATACAATAAAGAGAGGTTAGAGTCCTCCGAAGTATACTACAAATTTGCCAAAAATTACGCGAACAGTTTTCACGTCAATTGTTCTTCGATATGGCTAATTACGAAGTAGAAGGTGAAGAACTAAAAGATAAAAGTAGATGTGCTCATTTACGTGCAAAATTGAAAATGTGTTTGTTAAATACAGATTGTTGTAGAATAGTGAGTTATTGATTTGTGTTGTTGCAGCAATCATAACCTCTCTTTACAGTACGTTTATAAATGTGCAGTGATGTAATTTACATTTTCATATAATATATTTATTTTATTACAGCAAAGACGAACTCCCTTAGACTGTCTCAAAAATAGAGATCCATCTATTCCTGATGAATGTTATGCGTTACGTTTAACGTTCTTCGAATGTAAACATTCAATTGTAAGTACTATCAACTGGGTGAAATAAATAGAAAAGTAATTAATTTAATTTCATCTTTTTTAGCTCGATGGGAGACGAAGATTTAGGGGGCTTAGAGGTTATTAATACTTAATTATAGGATTTTTAGCTAAGAAAAAAAGAACGCGATAACACAGTTTGTAAGATATAATATTAGAAGTGATTTATTAGTATTTCGTTATTATTCGTTGTACATGATATAATAAATTCTATTATAATTGCGAAGTATCAATGTATCGTACAATCTCATTTTATCTAATGAAACTGTCAGGATTCCGCGATCGGATCCGCAGATAGAACTCGATTTTCTGGTACGATCGCAATGTTACCCTGAAGAGGCGTTACTCCCTCGTGGAGCAAAAGTATTTTCATAAACAAACTTGTGCAGGCAAAGAATCGTTATTTAACAGCGTTTCTCTTCAATGACAATCACACCTCACGTAATCGAGTCACGCAGTCACGCGGTCTTTGAGCCGCGCTCAATCGCACACATATTTTATGAGTGTATCGTTTCAATCGCGATACACGTGGGGATCACAGTAAAATCGCGAGTTTTTTTTTTTATTTCTCGTTTGTTTGTTCGTTCGTCTTATATTTAAAGGGCATCTTGTTCCACATTTTTGTTTCAGCGAGTACGAAGGGACGTATTGTAATAAGTCATACGCCGTTGGATCCTTAAAAATCTACGTTAACTGATCGCGCCTGCGCAATCATTCTAGCTATTGTCTGTATGCAACAAGCGTATATTGACTATACGTTTTTATTTGTTTTCTCGTCTTTTGTACTACAATGCCGAATCACACTACTCGTCCTCACTCTAAAATTTCTACGGGCACCTAAGAAAGATCTGGTATAAGCTTTCTCCGTGTCTGTCGATCGATCTACTTTTTCCTCACAGCGATAAAAAAGACGCGAGAGATCTATCCTTTCATCGTTAACGACGAACGAAGTACAAATTCAGAAGTTAAACAAAGAACGTGCTAAACTCGCAGTTTCAACTTCGAAGTCATAATTCATCCGTAAATCACGTCGTTTGCACTGAAAACCCGCGAGTATCGATAATCCAGGCAAGGATATGTAATATCAAACGTGTGAATGCAATTAGTAAAAGATCTGAAGATTATGTTTACAGAGCGCTCTCGACCTGAAAAGCCTGTATCATGCCGAGATTTGATTTTTCTTCCTCTAACTGATCTCGAAAAAGAGTGTGTGTAGCATTTTCAAAGAGTATCCTTTTATCAAGAAGTTTTCGCGACACCTTCTCACTGCGTTCGTTGTGATATATGCGGCAATCGTTCGAATATCACAGTTTTTCGAGTATATGATATGTAGTTAGCGATTTAATCGATAGTCGTCGATATAGTAATAAAAGTGTCTCGCAAATCTCTATGTTATGTACATGCAAGTTGCGCTCGGTTATCGAACGACGCGTACGCTCGCATAAAACGCTGGATGAAATATGTAAAGTCGAAAAATACAAACTGGCCAGAGGCGTTGCTAGACGGGTATGCAGCCCGAAGCGTACAGATTTATCATCGAGATTTCCCTAAAGCGTATACGAACGTGCCTCCCTTTAACGATATCTTTTACCATTTCGTTGTGACCAGAGATCACGAGATAAAATAGGTCTCCGATTTCTCCCGTTGACTGGCCACTGAACTCTGGCAAGGGAGTGGCGGTAGAGCTCGTTTCGTGAGAATGCGAGATTCGTAATAACGTCGGCAGTACAGCTCGATAAAGTGGCGAGTGGCGCGTTACAACCACGCGAAACTCGTTACACCGCGGTGGTACATGGTGCGATATAAGAAAATAAGTGACTTTATAAAACCGGGAGAATTCGTGAAACGATCAAAGTGTATGTATTGTACAGAGAGCGGGCTACAAATATTGCAGAGGCTGTTATTACGACCGAACGAAACGAGCCCTTGAAAGCTCCCCATTACACAGAGGTTTTATCGTGTAACGATAAAGCTTTACGTTCCCATGTCTTTCGCTGATCAAAGCGATTCTCTTGCCATGCTAGACCAAGAGACCCTTATCGACTAGAGCAGAATATTGCGTTCGGTGAGTAGATAGCAACGCTAAACCACGCAACGCCACGAACTCTGAATCGCAGCGAGTCCGATATGAACGAATAAACAGGGGGCCAGCCTCGTTCCAAACGATTCGTTCCCCAATAAATGGGAAATTTACAAAGTGGCCCTGTCCTGTTGCACCGCTTTGACGTTGTGTGCGCGTGGTCAGCGTTTCCTGAGGAATCAGAAGCACACCGAGGGCCTGTAGAGACCGGTGTAGCCGCACAAACGGGCCCGTAGCGCGGGCAACAATATCGCCGCCGCGGAGAGATTGTCTTGCAGTTGCGAACATTCGCAGATCAGGAGGTACATCTTGTCGCCCTGCGACATGGACTTGTGCAGTGTGATTCGTCTCAGGCCCACCGATCTCGGCAAATATCGGTACATCATACGGGCACCTAAAATAAATACATTTCAGTCCTTCAGTATTCTACTCTATTCCCTGTTATTAAACAATCACAAAAATACATTTCAACAGCAGAATTACCGACCGAACCAATGGGTAACATAACCTATTTTAGATTTTTACATTTTTCATTCTTGCAGTTACTCCTAGGGTAATGCAATCAATAGGATTGTACCTCGTTATTTTGATCTATGGATACATCATTTAGGTACACCTTATGGGTCGGTAATTTCAGCGTTACAATTGACTCTATGTTGAAATGATTAGACAGTGCAGTGAAGCTACAAGTACAAATAGACTACCGGTCCAATAGAGCCAGTTCTGCTCGAACTTGAGGCCGTCGTCGCCCTCGAAAACCTTAAAAATCGAGACAATATAACCGGTGGACGGAATCGGTGGTCTGACACCAGGTGGCTCCAGTGGTGGCCTGGCTATGGTGGCCACTTCGTTGAACAGATCCAACGTGTGACTGGCGGCGTAACGAAGGTCCCGAGGGTCGAACTTCCTCAGAGCAGCGCATTGAACCTCATTATAGAAATCTACGGGATCCGTGTTCTGCTTGTTTATTAGGTAATAGGTGATGAAGGGAAAGTCCGCTAAAAACGAACAAGAGTTAGTCAACACGAACTTCTCAAACTATTCTCTCAAATTAAATCAACTAATCGTCATTTTCGACCGTCTACTCACAATTTTTCTCCATGTTCGTGAGCAAGATGCTCTGGGAAGCAGAGGGCGCAATTTCGGCGACCAATTCAGCCGCGGTGTCACGTTGGAGGACCAAAGGTCGCGAGACTGGAGACTCGACCAAAGGATCCAGTGGCTCCAGGGGCGTCATAAAGTGGGCGAGAACACATTGCTTCGGGTCCTCGACTTCGAGGACCGACAGAGGGCTTCCTGGTCTCTTCTTGTCCGCGATTGGCGCGTGCTGGAACGAGTTGGAATAAAGCTGTGATTGAGAAAAAGACAATTAATCGTACGTTCCTCTATCCTTCCAATATTGTTTGTTTTCCTACTGTCGGCAGTCCATTAAAACGTCAATTCTGAGATCCAGTGTCAAGACTTAACCTCCAAAATCCAGTCTCGAGATTTAGAAAAAGAAGGTATCATTGCTATGTGTAGCAGGAATTTACGTTCTTTACGTCATTTACGTTACAGTCATTACGTCAGTCATCAGAGTTTCGTCGTGCCACGATAGCTTTTGTCTATTTTTGCGCGCTGAGGCCGGGCTAGCAAGGTCGTAGCAGCTCGTCGTGCCTCTAAGGCCAATAACTCGAGCATTCTGGTTTCAGCGAGTGCATTCGTGATTAGCGTGGATTCGCATGGATCGATTAGGGTATTCGATAAAAATATCGTTGCAATGACGGCGAGGCACAGCGTTATCAGCGGCTTCGGGAGATCTCGTTGGTCCGGATAGGAAGCGGGTGGATGTGTCGAAACCCTACTTCTAGCAAGCTTCAGTGATCGATCATTAGGCTCTATGCAATGCTGTGACGCTGAACAGACGCGTTGCAAAAGATTCGCATAGCTCCCCGTTGCGAAACACGCTGTTGCGAAATGCGCTTGTGTGCACGAAAGCAGATGTCGCGAAATAATAGAGGTATAAAAAAAGCGATCGATTCTAGCGAATTCTGTTGGTAGTTAGCAAGCAATAAATCTGTATTACGCCGTTATTGGTATTATTAACCCTTCTGCTGCTGTTTCTGACACGTCATACTGGTGAGATGCACTACTATGTCATTTCGCAATGGGAATTTTCGCGAACAAATACGGAAGTGAGCAAATATTATTAATAGATTTCCTAATTTAGATTTGAGCATATGAAATACAATTTAATGCTAAACTTATCACGATCAATCATCCGAGGTCATATTTTGTTAGACGTAGATTACCGCTTCGTCCATTTTTCATTCCTGATAAATGAAGCATGGATATCAGAAGAATCGGAATTAAAGGAGAGAAAAGTTACGAGGTGAATTTTTCAATCAAAAATTAAAAATTGTTTCTTTAAATTATGGAGGTGTCCAACCCAGTTTTATATACGAAATATCAAATAAAAATATACGAGACGATATTAAATTAATTTTACGTTGCTGTCTTTGTGACAAAAAGAATTATAAATCATAAATTAAAGTCATAAATTATAATTATAAAAATCATAAATTAAAGTATGGGGGTCCCCCCGCATGATTATTATAATCGGCTGGTTGGTGGTATTCTCAATATGGTGGAGGTGCTAGGAAGGATGAAAGGAAAGGGAAGAGGTGTGATTCATCTTGGGCCTGCTAGTGGACCCATCAGTAAGGCTACCTAGCAGGCCCTGTCTTAAATGGAAATACTATTGGGACGTCTGGAAATGCTATATATATGGGAAGTGGAAGGTTTTATCCAGGACTTGCTAGAAAGTAGGAATCCATTTATTAACAAGGGTTAGGTTAGAGAATGATGCCATCACAAAAATTAAAATTACATTACTTAATTTTCACCTCATCAGCCATCATTAGTGATAAATATATATTTTGTGCAGCCCAGGGAAACTACAAGATTGGACACCCCTAACTCAGATCATTGCAAATTTAATATTAATTGGGATATTAACACTCTGACTGCCACGCACTTTTATAAAATATATAAAATCAAATAAAACAAAATTTCCATTTTTAAACAAATACAGGGTGTCCCAAGAAAATGTATACACACTTTGCGTGATTATAAATAAATTATATTTATATTATAATAAATTAATATAAATTAGAAAGAATAAGGTATTAATGTGTGTATGTATATTTTTGGGACACCCTGTATTTAATCAACAACCGAACCAGAAACATAACGTAAACACGGTATAGTAAAAATATTCGCATAATATATATCATAGCAATTTTATATCAAGGTAATCAGAAATTCTAATGAAAGCAATATTTTATCTAAAGTTCGTACCGTTCTTGGTACCATTGTTAACACTTATCTGCCACGCTCAGGGGGCAACAATCAAATTTCCATTATTCTTACGATATAATAATAAATTATCAAATATGGCCAAAAAAAGAAAAAAAAAAAATGGTGCAAATTATTAATGCTTTCTATTCAACAAAGTTCTCTATTCATTTACTTATTCAAATTTTCAAAAAATAGTTATAATAAAACAAATATAAATTTAAAAAATTAGTATCATTGGTCACCGGTGACCATAATGGCAGTGAACGTGTTAATTTGCGCCACCTAAATGTAAACAAATATTTAATCAACAAGCGAAACGCAAATAGCGTAAACACGGTATAGTATAAATATTGGCACAATTACTATGCTATACTACACGCGACATATCGATCAGTTTGCAGCAGAAGTGTGAAGGAAAGTGAAAGAGTTAGCCGTAGAATCTAAAGCTGATCTACAGGCGCCATAAACGTGACAGTCATGCAGAAGAACACATGTGAGGTGCACTCAGTTGCGTAGAAATTGGTCTGACATACCGGTACTCCCGCGGGTAAAAAACGTTCGAGAGAAGCTAGGGGAATGATGAAACAGTCGCGGTCCAAGGTGGCCAGGGAGATTGGTTCGCCACGCGGAGGGCTGTTTCCGGAAACCACCAGGGGCGTGTACGCGCCAGACGCTCGGTTACCGCTGAAGGAAACCTATGAACGCCATACAATTCGGGGTAATTAACTTTGGTGACCTGGCACAGGCTCTCGTACATACATCCATACGAATTGGCCCGCCTCGTCCCGAAAGTTACCAACGATCTCTGCACACGAGCTTCCGCGTGCAAAATAGGGCTTCCTGTTTCGAAACTCGCGCATTTTCCACGGGTGGTTATTGCGTAAACGCTCGGAGGAAAAGACTCGCGTCGAGTCCCAGTTTCCATATTTTCCAAGGTATATGCTTCCTTTCGAGATCACGAGGTTCTTCGAAATTTTTGAATTATGTATACTCTAGAGGCAATATATTTAGGGTATATTAAGAATAACGAAGATTGGAGAAGATACTTATTGCTATAATGTTAATTTTGCTGAAAATTATTCCGTGATTGCGATAAATAAAATTTTTAAAATTTGAAATAGGTCATTTTAGTGGTTCTATAGTGTTATCGTATGAATTTAAATTTAGTAAATTTAACCTTCGAAGTTTATGGGACTTAGGGCTACCGTGTATGTCCTGAAAATAATTTTTCCATATTTTCCAAGGTATATGCTTCCTTTCGAGATCACGAGGTTCTTCGAAATTTTTGAATTATGTATACTTTAGATGCAGTATAATATTATAATATTTATATAGGAGTAACGAAGATTGGGCGATGGAATAAATAGATACATATGTATAATTACATACTTATTGCTATAATGTTAATTTTTCTGGAAATAATTCCATGATTGCGATAAATAAAATTTAAAAAATTTGAAATAGCTCATTTTAGTGGTTCTATAGTGTTAATCGTGTATCATACGGATTTTAATTTAATAAATTTAATCTTCGAAGTTTATGGGAGTTTATAGGATTATTGTGTGTCCTGAAAATAATTTTTATTATATAAAGTATTGCAGAGTATATATCTGGATTCTCGAAGAAAAATATTATTCGTATGGAGTTGTATGTATGGAATGGTGTAGTAAAATATTTTAATTAGGAAATTACTTTCTTTTTAAAGTAATGGTATCTGTTAATCCTTCAAGAAGAGGATCTAAGATTTTTCATAATATAGATCTTCAAGACGAGTCGCGATTAAATCAATCTTCCATATATTGTACTAAAAAATTTTAATTATGAAATTAATTTCTTCTTTACCTAATAATATTTGCTAATCCCTCAAGAAGGATCTATGATCCTCGATTTTGCATAATATAGATCTTCAAGACGAATCACGATTAGATCAATCTCCCATATATTTTTAAAACACATACATATGTACATTTAATTTACCAAATTAATTCATAATATTCTCATTTCGATGATCTAGAATAATGAGATAAATTTTGAAGTTTCTAACCAAATTCCGAAATCACAAAAATTAGTATAGTGCACAGAAGTTACTCACACTATACTCTTCGCACGTGTCATTTCATCAGTCAGGAAATTCATAAATAGAGCCAGAAAAATTGACGTAAATTCGAGGTCATTCGAAGGTCACGTTTATGTTAATGACATAGATTCTAATATATGTATATATCGATGTAAAAATAAATGGTGTCTGTGAGAAAGAACGAGTGGATTGATTATGCGTGTAATGATTGATTATACGTGTAGTATAGAATGTATATATTTACGTAATGTATGAAAGAAGAGGGAACAAATGAGAGAGTAGTTTGCTAGGTCAGTTTCAATCCAGAATTGATTGAAAGTAAACGTGTATACGAGTATCGAGAGAGAGAGTAAACACAATTAGATATACCTCATCGATCATTTTTACCCTGTGCTATAATATTGTTCAATAAATATTTAACATACTAATTTAAATATGATATCCACGACTAACAACATTTTGATAAATGTCCACACTGATATCATAAATTAAATCATTAGCATTCAGAGGATCGAGTATCACTCGATGGCAGTGTGTGTGTGATCGGTGTTGACAGTAGTGGTAAAATGGAAATTAAAAAATGCAGAGAACTAAAATCCTGCTTGAATAAAGATCAGTACTAAATCAGAGTGTCCTTTGCACTTCGAGTAATTTTTAACATGACCTGACAGCAACTCTGTGTCATTTTACTTTTGCTGTTAGCTTCTATAGCATAGTGCGTTCGAGAAAAGAAGGCACAGCGTGGTTACATCCTGAGGACTGATTAACCACGCTGATTCCAACGTAGATGAGATGCTCACAAAGGGGATCAAATGTGATCTGTGGCATATGAAGAATATTCAGCAACTGGTAATGGAAAAAAAATCAGCTCGCGGATTATTCCGCGCTCGGTGATAGACGACAGTCGTGGCTCGCGGAATATTCCGCGCTCGGTGATAGACCACAGTCGTGGCTCGCGGAATATTCCGCGCTTGGATGCAAATGGGTTGATTGATATCTGCAATTTAAAATTGTCCAACGACGCGTGGAATATCGAGGTGAAATAATTCTTCGTCTTATTGTTAATCAGTCATGAGGATATAAACACGCGGTGCCTTCTTTTCGCGAACGCGCTATAGCAGCCTAGGCCCAATCTTTTCTCCAATCACGTCTTCCACGAGGTTCCCCCACCTTTCCCCTTGACTTTCTAATAGTCAGCCAAGGATTGTAATTCTTCCACTTCCGGCAGCCGCTGATGGAAGCCGGAAACGCGCCGGCCGAGCCAGCATCCACTCCCTCGATCGTAAACAGCAATGGCGGCAACCCAGCGCCGTATATATCCGCGTTCCCACGTTTGGTCCCGAGTCTGCTGCATTTTTAACGAGCGTGCATCCACCGAACGGCACCCCCGTGTAACAAGTGAATGCCGAAGTCGCCAGCGACGTTTTGAAATCTAGGTTAACGCGATTCCCTTCGTTCTACCACCCTCTGTTCGCCAACTATTCCACGGTTAACCATGTCGTGATTTATGGCCACGCTTATGGAAACGTCTGTAACACGTCTTCGACGAGACCACACGTCTTCGATGACAACGCAGAGAACAGTTGGCACAGGAAAGAGAAAGAGGGTAGGAGGAAGGAATGAGTAGGAGAGTAAGGGGTTCAGTCGTGATTTGAAAATTTATAGAATTTTTCGTGTAGACAGGTCGGAGTGTATTGGAATTTTACAGAAGTCGTGGAGAAAGATTCGTAGGTTTCGTGTTTTATCAGATTTAATTAGGTATTATGGTGATTATGGGATTTTGCATGGAGGAGTTTGAATGTGTTTGATTTTACAAAAGTCATAGGAAGAGATTACTAGGTTTTGTGTTTTATCAGGTTTACTTAGGTCTTATAGGATCTCCTATTAATAGGATCTTGTATGGAGGTGTTTGAGTGGCTTTAACAACTTGCGGTGGCAAGAAATTTACGGACGCGTGTGCCAGAACGGTCCAGTATTTCTGTAACAATTGCCTAACGACGTGTATACCACGTCGTTGGTGATTCTGAGACAAAAGCATTACGACGTGCGTGACACGTCTTTCCACCGCAAGTGGTTAAATTTTAGAGAACTCGAGAGAAGAGATTCCTAGGTTTTGAATTTTAGAGGAATAGTGGGCAGAGATTCCCAGATTTTGAATTTTAGAGAAATCATGAGTAAAGATTCGTAGGTTTTGTGTTTTACCAGGTTTACTTAGGTTTTATGCTGATTATAAGATCTTGTATGGAAAAGTTTAAATGCCTTTGAATTTTAAAGAAGTCGCGAAGAAAGATTCGTAGATTTTGAATTTTAGAGAAGTGGAAACAGATTCTCAGGTTTGATGTTTTATCAAGTTTATTTAGGTCTTACGATGATTATCGGATCTTGCATGAGTGCCTTTAAATTTTACAGAAGTCGTGTGAAAATGGATTCCTAGGTTTCGAATTTTATAGAAGTCGTAGGAATAAATTCGTAGGTTTTGTGTTTTACCAGGTTTACTTGGGTCTTACGGTGATAATAGGATCTTGTATGAAGGTGTCTGAGTGCATCTGAATTTTAGATAAATCGTGGGAAGAGATTCCTAGGTTTTGAATTTTACAGAAGTCGTAGAAATAAATTCGTAGGTTTTATGTTTCACCATGTTCACTAAGTCTTAAAGTGATAATACGATCTTGTATGAGGTTGTATCTAGGAGTTTGAGTAGCTTTGAATTTTACAGAACTCCTGCTAAAAGATTCTTAGGTTTTGCGTCTTATCGTGGTTATAGGAACTTGTGTAGAGGAATTTGAATGCCTTAGAATTTTAGACAAAATGTGCAAAAATATATTTATTATTATAGATATATATTGTATGTACAAGTTCGAGCGTGCTTGAATTTTAGAGAGATTAAGACGAATAATTTTTCAGACTCTGTTGATCATAGGGTTTTCTAGAGATTCTGGTAAAATTGGAGTGTCTTCGAGTTCCAGAGGAACCCTGGCAAATCCCTTTTCACCTACAGAGAGATCTGCTTCGTGTATTGCGACTATAGAGCGACCTAACTCCACCTTCTTCTATCTATAGACCTAGTTTTTCTATCTATAGAAGACCCGTGAAAGTCGGTATTTCGCGGTTGTGTGGTAATCCGAAATGATTCATGGTATCCTAAATACTACCCACGACGTATAATACTCATCAAGGTCCCATATCACTCTCGATTAATAATACACTAACCTAACCATTTTATCATCCACGAAAATTCAACACTTGAGCCATTCACTGCACAGAAAATCGATTAATTCCACTGTTTGAAAAATCTTGAATTTCAAAAGTTATGACTGTACCAAGTGCTTTGACACTTAACCCTTTGCACTCGACGACTTTTTGGCTAGAGAAGAGTAGAAAATCAAGGTTCTCTACTAAAAAACTGACCATTTTTGTTTTTAGCAGTAAATAAAGAATTGTACAATAATAGAATTGTAGAATTATTTGACTCGATACTTCGTACACTGTTACATTATATTAAATTTAATATATTAACACTAGAACTACCAACCCAGTCAAAATGACTGGTCCCAGAATTTTTCTTTTCGCAATCACCGAACACATACACTTGCTTTAAGAATAAAATTGCTATCAACT